TCAGTAACCCACCCCAACTCCTGCCTCCCCTCCCCCCAAAATGGAAAGAAATAAAAAACTTTCCTGTATCAAATATGCATATTTTAAAAAATCGACACCCTAACCATATATAAAAATGTGTGTCTTATTCTGTACCTCGAGTCTATCACCACTCTCTGTCAGGAGATAGGTAATATGCTTCAGCTGGGAGCACTGGGCCTGGAGTCAGGAAGACCTGAGTTCAAATCCAGCCTCACACACTCCTGGGGAAATCATTTAATCCTGTTTGCCTCAGTTTCCTCATCTGTAAAATGAGCTAGGGAAGGAAATGGCAAACCACTCCGGTATCTTTGCCAAGAAAACCCCAAATGGAATTACCAAGAGTCAGAATTGACTGAATAACAATAACAATATGCTTCATCACTGGCCCTAGGCAACTGTGGTTGATCATTGTGTTGATCAGAGTTCTTCCATCTTTAAGGGTTTTTTTTTAAATTTTCTTTTATTTTTAGGCAATTGGGGTTAAGTGACTTGCCCAGGGTCACACAGCTAATAAGTGTCAAGTGTTTGGTCTGAGGTAAAATTTGAACTCAGGTCCTGCTGACTTCAGGGCTGGTGCTCTATCCACTGCACCACCTAGCTGCCCCTAAGGGTTTTTTTTTTAGATAATGTTATTATTTACATTGTTCTCATTGTTTTGCTCATTTCACTCTGTATCATTTCATACAAGTAGAAGGGACCAATTCAAGAAATACTGTGGAGGTAAAATAAATTAGACTTGCAACTCAGTGGACATAGGCAGAGTAGCACAGGAGGGAGTGAGATAACTTTTGAGATGAGGGTGTCGTTAACAGAAAAAAAGGAAGAAAAAGGAGGATGAATTTGGGGGGGGAGGGGAACATGATGAATACTACTCTACACATGCTGAGTTTAAAATGTTGGCAGGACATCCTGACAGAGATGTCCACTGGAGCAATAAACTAATTCCATTCTGTTCCAGAAACATTTTTAAGCACTTAGATATGTAAGGCACTGTGTTCAGCACTGGGGATCCAAAAATTAAAGAAGACTCTGTTTCTGTCCTCAAGAATCTAACAGCTGAGCAGGGGAATGAGAGACACACACAAATGAAAGTTAGTCCAGCATAGGGTGCCTGGAAGACAAATGAGGTGTAAGCGATGGGAAGAGGTAAAGGGCGCTTCCAACTGGAGGCATCAGAGGTGAGTTCATGGAGAAATGGGTACTTAACAGAATCTAGAATGAAGAGGATTTCATCTGGTGCAGATGTGGAGGGAGTGCGATTTGGTCAATGGGGATGGTATACACAAATGCCTGGCAAATTTAGGGAATAGATAGTAACCCAACTTATCAGAAACAAAATGCATGCAGAAAAATAGGTGAAAGAAGGCTGGAAAGAGAGGTTAAAGCCATGTTACAGAAGCTCTGGAATGGTGTGATAGAAATTTGTATTTTATTCCAAAGGAATTGAAGAATTTTAAGTATAGGAGTGACATTTGAAGCCTTACATATTAGAAACATTACTTTGGCATTAGAGAGAAGGGTGGATGAAAGAAGAGATAGAATGGAGTCAAGGAGAGTTGTTGTGCGGCATCACATAGGATCATGGGATCATAGATTTAGAACCAGAAGGGACCTTAGAGGCTATCTAATGTGAGCCCACCATTTTGTAGCTGAGGAATCTGAAGCTCAGAGACATTAAGTGACTTGCCTAGGGTCACACAGGTAGTAAGTAGGGAGTACTTGGTAGTGAGCCAAGAATCGAACCCAGGTTCCTCGCTTCCAAATTCAGCCCATTTCCCACTGTACCATGCTGCCTCCCAGTGGACAGTAGTCCAGGTGAGAAGCATTGAGACCCTGGACTGGGAGGATGGCAGAGGAATTGGAAAAGAGGGAATGGATACAAGAGAAATTGTGGATGAACGAACAGGGCTTAACAAATCAATTCTGTGTGGGGGTAGGGTAAGGGTAAGAGAGAAGGAATGTTCAAAGATGATTAACATTTCAAGGCTGGATGACTTGAAGAAAGGATGTGTCATGGTCAGAAACAGGCAAGTTAGAAAGAGAGCATGTTTGGAAGAAAGATAAGTTCTACTTTGCACATGCTGTGTTAGAGATACTGGAAGAACCTCTAAATGGAGGTGTCCAAAAAGCAGGTGGATATTCAGGTTTGGAACTCAGAGCAAGGTTAGAGAAGCAGATTAGGAATCTTCCCCATAGAGGCAACAACCTTATCTGTAAACCCAGCAATACCACTACTAGGTTTGTAGCCCAAAGAGATTTAAAAAAAAAGGAAAAGAATCTATATGTACAAAAATATCTGTAGTAGCTCTCTTTGTGGTGGCAAAGAACTGGAAATTGTGGGAATGCCCATCAAATGGGGAATGGCTAAACAAGTTGTGGTATATGACTATGATAGAATGCTAGAATGTGATAGAATGATAGAATAGGAATGGATGAATGATCTAAAATAAAAGGCAGTGAGAGAAGAGGAC